CTTACAGGAGTCGATCTTCAAATTCTTCGTGTAGATGTGCCCTGGCTGGATACAGGTATCGAATCTTTAAACCCTTTATGTAGATGTGCCCTGGCCGGATACAGGAATCGAGTCTACAATCGGTTACTCACAGATGTGCCCTGGCTAGATGCAGGAATCGAATCTGGAGTTAGTCGTCAACAGATACACCCTGGCGAGATACAGGAATCGGATCTTCAAACTCTTCAGACGTACCCTGGCTGGTTACAGAAATCGAGTCCAAAAATAGTCGTCAACAGATACACCCTGGCTGGATACAGGAATCGGATCTTCAAACTCTTCAGACGTACCCTGGTTGGTTACAGGAATCGAGTCCAGAATTAGTCGTCAACAGATACACCCTGGCGAGATACAGGAATCGGATCTTCAAACTCTTTAGACGTACCCTGGCTGGTTACAGGAATCGAGTCTGGTAATGTAGTCGTCAACAGATACACCCTGGTTGGATACAGGAATCGGATCCTCAAACTCTTCAGACGTACCCTGGCTGGTTACAGGAATCGATTCTGAATTACTGTGACCGATAAATCTTACCAATTTCTGATCTCTATTCTATTGCCTACACTTTTCAATTTTTATCATTTTGTATACTTACGCATATTTAACATTTATAATTTTAATGATATGGTATTTTTATCTCTCTCTCTTCAAAAACAACTTTGGTTGGTGAATTGAGGATAATAAATTATTTAATGTAGTTTATTTTGTATCTGACATCAAAAAATAAAATTTTAATGGTAAATCAACTTTAGAATTTGGTTAATGAAATAAAATTTTAATGCTAAATAAAATCTTAATGATAAACTTTAGAGGGTTGTTTTGAACCATTCATTCTTTAGTGGAGTTTATTAATCACCTCATTCCAATTACTTGGGTGTAATGGTGTTTTTGTGTAAACATTGGTGTCAAAAATTTGTTAATAGTTAGGGCACAAATTTATTAATGAAATATAATTATATTTATTTTATTACTCATATTCGAACCTAAAGTCATTTATGAAATATAAGTGTTTAATGTGAGAACATCATAAAATATTTTGTAAAAAACATAAAAATATTGATATATAATTTTAAAAGATAATTGAATATAATTAATATAAAATATTTTATAAAAACATAAAAATATTAATATGTAATTTTAAAAAGATAATCGAATATAATTAAATATAATTTTTTGAAATAATAAAAAAATATAAATATAACAATACAAAAATATAAAAGAAGGAAGATTAAATTTATTTAAAATAGAACTTTTAACATTTTAATAAATTAAATTTATATTTAAATAAATAAAATTTGTTCAAATGATGTTGATTAGTAAAAAGATGGAAAAAAATGAAAGCATTAACTATATATGAGACTGACTTGTGGTCAAATGCCTCTTTTAGGTTAACTGTTACTGTTCTAAAGTCAATCTCATTAATTTATTAAAATGTTAAAAGTTTTATTTTTGATAAGTTTTATTTTATTTTTGTATTGATTATATTTTTATATTTTCATTTTATTATTTATGACATGTGTTTAAATTTATTTTATAAATTTTTATTCATTTTTTAAATTAGTTTAATGTTTTTCTTTTTAATAATTTTATTAAAATTTTACTGTATTTGATTTTATTATAAAATTATATATTATTATTGTTATGTTTTTATAAAATATTTTATGATATTCTTTGATTAAATAATTATATTTCATTAATAAAATTGTATTCAAATTATGAATGGTAAATATTATTTCATTAATAAATTTATATTTAAATTATAAATAATAAATATTTTTATATTTTGTTAATAAATTTGTATTTGAATTATAAATAGTAAATATTATTTCTGCCCCCCTAATTTTTCCATCTCAATTCTCGATCTTCACTATGTGGAAATATTTTGCTCATCTCACACATCTCCATAGTACCTCACAAAGATCTATGAACATTAAACCTTAAGAAAATTTCGATACTTTTCCCTAAAACTGGTGACAATAGTATTTTTTGTTATTTTATTATTATTTTTTTAATTACACATTTTGTATCTTTTTTTTAGTATAAATAAAAACATTTCTTACATCAATAATGAAAAAATGCAAAGGTACTTGTGGTTGCTAAAATGTCTTTTTTTTGTCAAAAAATAAATCTTCAATAAAATATGTTATTATCACGAGTTTTTACTTGATATTTGTGATTAGTACCAATTTTTTTTGGAAATTATGAATTTTTACTAGAATTTTACGAAAAATATGGTTTAATCCAATCATTTTGAATAATTTTCTTGAATTTTTGAACTGAATATTCAAAAATTAGACATTTGAAAAATTTGAGAGTATATTGAATATATTAAAAATCCGATATTCACATATTATTTATGGAATTTTCAAAAAATTTGATAGTCAGTAAGAATTTTAAATTTTTTGGCGAAGACATCCCCTGTAATGTGGAGTCCCCGTCTTGCACTGAAATTTCACAATATAGATAATTAACATATAATTTAATATTTCTATGTAGGTTTATTTATAATGTTAGTAAAAGAGAGATATCTAAATGACTATTTTCCTTTTTTTTTTTTAAGATTGAAAATATTGTGGTCATGAATCTCAAGATTAAATATTGTTAAAATAATATATTTATCGTAGATGATTAGTTTATTAATTTCTTGTGGTCAGCTTTTGAATTTTTTTTATTAATTTAGTTAAAAATAATAAATAAAAATTTATGTATATAGATATCCATAAAAATCGTGGGGATGGGGACAAAATCCCCCAGTGGCGGGGATCCGATACGGGGAAGGGGAGTAAATTTGAGGGCTAGGATTGATATGAGAATGTATCCCCCACCCCTCCCCCCATTGACATCCCTACTTAGAGTTAGCCCATGTGTTAAGGAAGATCAAAAGGGATTGCGCGAGGTGGACCTCCGTTTGTGCTCATGCTTATATGCTCGTGATGGCGATGTTCGCCCTGGGCGATTTTCATTTGCGGGGTAGCACGCACGAGGAAGGTATTTTTCCCGCGACCGGTATTTTTTAATCTGTGTGGGCGAGATAACACATAGGTGTCGTAGTTGACAGTTTCATCTGCTCGTGCCCCATGTTGTAAGTTCGATCCAACTCGTGAATTGTCATGATGCCTGTGACTTCTCCTCGTTGTTCCCCGGGGATGTGCCCGAGAAAGTCTAAGGGTCTTGGGATGACAATATATGTTCCTTGAGCTGCATGTCATAACATTTAATGCACAATGATGGCCTAGACGTAGAGTTATGACGACCTAGGGGTAGGGATAATGATGCGCTGTTTCAACGACACGCCTTCTCATGCGCTGTTGTGTTTCCCGTGCAAGGGGATTTGGTTATAAATATGTGCAAATTGGTGGCATTTGCAACGTTGCTCCTTCTTCCGACTTTATCTGCTCTTCTCTGATCCTCTGATTCTTAGATTGTTCTTCCGCCGATACCGCCGCTGGAACTCCACCTGTCTCCCGTTTTCTTCTTAACCCAATAAGTTTTCTCTCCTCTTGGTTTCTTCTGTATGCCATTTTTAAACTTTTAGGTGTTTCCGTAATTACTTTAGGAGAATCTTATGAGTCAGGAATATTTGAAGTGTGACACAAGAAATGAAATTATGATCAGGGGTTTAAGGAGTTGAGGATTTGAATCGTTGGAAGGTAGAGTCGTGATACCGGTGATTTAAGGTGGAAGATTCCTAATGAACAAAGCATAATTATTCTTTCAAATGCTTGTTGCTTGCCAAGCAACTTTACTTGTATCGAGAACACTTGAAATTAGGAGTTCATGTTGGTTCAAGGTTGGCAAGGGTCTAGGCGTACAAGGTTGAAGTTGGATCATCTTGGATCCAAGTACTAAAGGCTAAATGTACATCTTGATTTCAAAATCAACTCATGTATGCTAGAGAGAGAGAGAGAGAGAGAGAGAGAGAGAGAGAGAGAGAGAGAGAGAGAGAGAGAGAGGAGAGAGAGAGAGAGAGAGAGAGAGAGAGAGAGAGAGAGAGAGAGAGAGAGAGAGAGAGAGAGAGAGAGAGAGAGAGAGAGAGAGTTTATGACTTGGAAGTTTTATAGTCAAGTACCAAAAGTAATCACCATTGTCCATTACTCATCTAAAACATCAAACAAGTTCATTGTTCATTACAAGATCATTCAAGTTTCAAGTAATTTCCACTTGTATTCACACAACTATCCATACGGATTTACAAGGCTCATCATGAGTTCAAACTCATTCAAAGTGATCCTATTCTAACATCCATTAGTCAAGACTTATCCAATTTCCATACAACAAGTTCATCATTCAAAGTTCAAGTTTTAATCTCATTGAAGCAAGATTCGAGGTTCATTCATTAAAAGTTACAATTCTTTTTGTCATGGCATTCTTGAAAGAAAAGTAGAAAGGAAAATTACAAGTATCTTGAACATGGATACCTAAGTCTCAATCCTACACTAAATTCAAGCCTAAACACTTTCTTCAAGCCTTCAAAATATATTGTTCCAACATGGATCATATGTCTTGCCTTTGCCTTATTTTGCAAACCTCAAACCATATTTCAAAGCCATCAAACCTCCCTGCATCATCCTGCAAAACCTGTCCAAAAACAATGTTAAAATTCAGCCCATGAACCTATACAAAACAAAACATAATAGCCATGTAATATACCAAACATATCAGTCCAAACTTGTTTCAAACTAAAAACCTGTCAAGACCCGCTGCCCACTTTACGGTTATCCTATATCACAAAGAAAAAAAACTAGTCCAATACTTTGCATTAGTTGCTGTCTAAACTGTCCATCCCTTTCACCTACTGCTACAAATAGCCTGTCACTCTGCTACAACAGCCTATAGCCCTGCATAACCTGTATTACCTGTTATCATAGCTTGCCACTCTCCTCCAAAAAGAATATGTCAACATTGCACCAAATTAGCAAGTCAGAACCTGCATCCCGAAAGCAAAAACCAGCCTACTGCATATGTTTAAGCCCATGAAGTCCCCCCTCAATTCCAATATGATATCTACTATAATAACAATAGAGGGGGGACAACAATATGGAGAAGGAGGAAAATCAGGAGAAAGATATACCAAAAAACATAGAGAAAAATTTCGAAGGGAAACGCACATGAAGATTTCACAAACCACAAACCTGCACTATCTTCCTTTCACCTACAAATCCTAACACTACAGCAGCAACAATATCCTCGACTCTTTTCATAGTCCGCAACTCAGAGAACCGAACCAAAGAAGAAGAATAATCAACTTGGAACAAAGTTTAAGGCAACAAAAAATTATTCACCTGAAAATATCTCTGGTCTTCTCCGCAACATCGTCGTCACCTTCAAAGTCGCTAGAGGAATCATCGATTTCGGTTAGTTGATCTCACCATATTTTCATTCCTTTAATACCATTACGTGGTCTGCTATCTTGTATGAGCACAATTACTGTTTGATTGTATTGTTGTAATATATGTTGCTTGTTTCACAATTGAAAGCTTAAAACCGTAAAACAAATTTTTTTCGTCGTTGTTGTTGTTGTTGTACGTCCTTGAATCTTTAGACTGTGTTAGCTCCATTGAGAAGAAAGGCACAGAGGCGTGATCTCGTCTGTTGCAAAATCATAAAACCGTGTGAGACAAAAAAGGAACCATAAACAAGTAAGAATCGAATAGAGTTGAGTGTTGTTGTTGTGATGTCAAGTCCAAATCATGAATAAATAACAACCAAATATTTCATTAAAAAAATTCTACATTAACTTCCTCAAAATCACGCCAAGCGACATCAGAAGTTTTCAACACAACTTTAAAACAGAACCACCTGCAGCAGAAATCAACAACCCTCAGAAGCATACACAGAATTCGCATAATAATCTCAACATTGACTCATTGCATCCTCTCATCAACTCCCCTGAGCAACAGTCACAGATATGCAATGGCATCGGCAATACAAACTCAATCAGAAGCAATTTCGAATCTTAGCAGAATCGAAGAAGGGAAGAGAGGATTGAATCCCATACTTGAGAGTGTCATTGTCTCTGTCGATTTGATTTCGTTGCTGCCGTATCGGAAATCGCAATCGTCGATCGAAACCAAGGAGGATTTCATGAAAGTGTTGAGAGATGGTGATGAATCGTGAGAGTTGATGGACCGGGAGAGGTCGATCCATTTGAGAAATCTGGAAGAAATTCGTTGTTGTTTTTATGGTGAGTGAAGAAGAATGACTGAAAGAGGAAAAGCGTGAACGGATGAGAGAGAGAAAACCGTGTAAATAATGTTGTTGTTCTTAATTTTGCCTTTATTTGAGTTTAATTAAGAATAATGGAGATTAATTTGTTGACCAAGTCCAAACTGGCACCAGCAACCACCTTTCCTTTAGGCTTCTAGGGTTTTTTTTTCCATACAACTTCTAATTGGGCCTAACTTGAACCAACCTTTTTTAAGCCCAATCTGCTCTTCTGTTTTACTTTACATTATTTCTAAGTGGTAGTAATATCGAATAGGCGCGCATGGCACAATGGTAGAAGTCTTGAACATGCAAACTAGTGGTCTTGAGTTCAATACCCAGGAAGACCATTTTTTTCCTTTATCTTTTAAGTTCTTTTTATTTATTATTATTTGTCTTGTTCTAATTTTATCTTTATTAACCATTAACAAGATTATTTAGAGTTAATATTTTAATTTCCTTTTGTTTCTTAATTTATTTCATCACAAAAAAACACAACAAATATTTTGAATTTAATTTCTTTATTATTTTTTGATAGATTTGTTAATCTTACCATATATTCTCTTAGGTAGCTCCATGAGGCGATTAAATCTCGTTTCGATCGCCTTATGTCAACATAGATTTTTGGCTCACTTGTACATAATAAACAATTAGGATATTCCTTAGTCTCCCTCTTACCCCTTTTCTTTTGTAATTAAAACTTCTCATCCACAAATCAAAAATCCAAAACCATTTAATCACTACTTGAATTTATTTTAAAACTCGCAAGACACTCAACAAATCCAAATTCCCCCAAAGGGCATGTTATCTCCGTTCTATTGCGATACCGGCTGTGACTATTGCTAGAATGCGTGCGTTAACACCGCCCACTAAAAAACACAAACAAACAAACCATTTTCTAGAGGAACTACGGTGTTCTGATTCCTTCACTAGATACGTAGGCAAAGGGTCGTGAAACCCTCATTAACGCAATAATAAAAAACCATTCATTTCCCCTTTGGCAAGTATATTTGTAGATAAACCCACCCTTTAAGACAAACAAACAAAATGGATCCCGTTGAGTACAATGGATGTGAGGGGGTGATAATACCTTCCCCTTGCATAACCGACTCCCTTAACCCTTTTCTTGGTCGCAATACCATCTTATCCATTCCCTTGTGGTTTTATTGATATTTCCCCTTCCTTCGGGATGAATAAAGTTCGGTGGCGGCTCTGTTGTTTTTGCCGGTAGCTTCAGTTGGTGACTCTGCTGGGGACCTTTTGCAAGTCTCTCCTAGTTTTATTTATTTGTCTTTTTGGGTGTTTATTTATTTGCTTTATTTTGCTTTACTGTTCTATTATTTCCTTATTCTTTTGTATATATTGCATATATTGTTCCTACTCACATATTTTGGATACATTGTGATGTTGGTCTTGGTGATTACATTTGATAAGTCCTATACCTGGACTTGGGTTACACTTAGGATTAGGACGTGCGGTATAGTCATGTTAACTTTGAGGGAGTAATCCCAAAGAAGGAAGCATGAAAATTCCCCACTCAGTGGAGGTCCCCTTGAAAGTAGTGATATTTACCGAGTAATTGGGAAGATGTCGTTGCTTTTGACATGGGAACTCGAGAAGATGAGGGCCGTAGAACCATTAACCCATCCTGGCCTTTTTAGGTGCAGTGCAGAGACTATAACAGAGTAATCCAGAAGTAGTTGTCACGCGATATTGCACTCAAACAAGTTTTTCCTGCGAATATTACTGATTACCAAGTAATTGGGACGTCGATAATATCCAAAGGAAAAGCGTAGAATTCGAGAACTCTTTAGAACCTTGTTAGGCAGGTGATAAACCCCTCGTACATACCTTATGAGTTGGTTACTTTGAATCCATGCCTGTGACGTCAGACTTTTGATCCTGTTACTTTCAGCCCGTGCAACGGACTACGCAGTGGTTATCCAGAATATGTGGAGCTGAGACTTCATGCCACAGCATACCATGACATCATATCATCATGTATATATATCTCATATCTAGGGAAATCCAAAGACAAGTCTCGTTGATGTAGCTTTTCAAAAAGGAAAAATTTAAAAGATAGGCGAGTCTTTGGATTTCCTCAGAAATGAAGATAAAGCATTCATTCATAATATCATGCATTCATTTTTCACAATAAAAAATCATTGGGGTCCCTTTTCCGACAGACTTCAGTAAACAGCAAAGACGACTTCTCCACATCCTTACCGTATGAGAGGCAATCAACGAAGACTTATGGATCTTTTTAAAGAGAATCAGAATGCACTCCGCCGAGATATGGACACCATGGGCACTTGCATGGATCAGCTTATGGAAACCCTTCATACCGTGATCAAGGGTCAAGAAGAGTTACATCAAAGTGTTGCCAAGCTTACTACTGGTGCTCCCTCCACTTTTGCTAATGGGAGGAATGACAATGCAAATGTTGAGACCCCTACTGGAGCTCCTAGGAATGATGTTGATGATCATCACGATGTTATTGATCTTGATGAACCCCAAGTGAATCTTTCCGCCGGAGTCGCCGAAACTGCGAAAATGTACCATGCTCTCGAAGAGCGTCTTAAAGCCATGAAGGGTATTAAGGCTTCTAGATTCAATACTACTACAATGTGCCTCGTTCCTGGGGTAGTTATTCCTCCCAAGTTCAAAGTTCTGGATTTTGACAAATACAAAGGCACTTCTTACCCAGAGACTCATCTCTATTCCTACTGTCGCAAAATGGTTGCCTATGCTGAGAATGAACCATTACTCATGCACTTCTTCCAAGATAGCTTAACCTGGGCACCATTGGATTGGTATATGCAATTGGAAATATCTCATGTCAGTACTTGGGGAGAACTTGCTGACGCCTTTTTGAAACATTACCATTACAATACTACCATGGCTCCTAGCCGTACTCAGCTCCAAGGGATGGCACAAAAATATGAAGAGTCATTCAAAGAGTACGCTCAGAGGTCGCGTGAGCTGGCTGCAAGGGTACAACCTCCTCTCTTGGATCGTGAATTGATTGATCTGTTTATGGGTACTCTACGAGGCCCTTATCTCCAATATATGCTCAGTAGTACTTCTACTTCTTTCTCTGATATGGTCATTATTGGTGAACATGTTGAGACTTGCATTAAGGCTGGAACGATCCAAGGTGTTCCTAATAATACTAACAATAATGCAGGCATTGGTAGAAAGCCGTTTTCTGGTTTTGTCAAGAAGAAAGAAGGTGAGACTAGTGCCATCACCATCAACCAAGGAAGAGCTCCTGTATTTCCTCAAGTCCGATTTCCTTATTTTCCTACACCTGCTGTTGTTCCCAACCAATTTGTTCCTCAAGTGTATGCTGCTACAACTCTAGCACCCTGGATGGCCCAACAACGGCCTTTCACTCTGCAACCACAGTATGTTCCACAACAACAATTTGCACCTCCTCCAACTTATCAACAACAAAATTAACAACCTCAAGGTCCAAGAGCTCCTCAAATACAAAGAGTGCCTGAAATAAGATTTGATCTCATTGCTATGTCCTATTCTCAGCTTCTCCCACAATTACTTGTTAGTCAGTTGGTACAATTACGTGAACTTGGTCCACCGCCAAATCCTCTCCCTATGGGGTATGACATTAATGCTCATTGTGAATTTCATTATGGTGCCTTAGGCATACAATTGATAATTGTAGAGCATTAAAATGTAAAGTTTAAGACCTCCTCGATGCAAAGGCCATTGAACATTTGTTTGAGCATGAGGTGCTACAAGAACTTCATGATTTCTGCTTAACATGTTCCTCTAAACCTGAAGAGTGTACTGGTTTGAAGACGGCTATCCAACAGTTGATCGATGAAGGTGTACTACAAATAGAGAAGAAATTCTGAGAAGAAGATATTGATCTCCTGGAAATACCCTACTATCCGAGAAGCTTTTCAGCAACCCCAAGTATTTTGTTAACAATTCAGGTTCCTACTACCCTATTAATGATTCAAGCTCCCGCTACTCCCGAAATAATTCAAGCTCCTATTCATCCCAAAAGTAACGACTCGAAGGAAGTTCCATGGTGTTGTACCCCAAAATTTTCCCTCTCACTTATCAAGAATTTGCTCACAAGATCTCCTTTGACTCAAGACTGCATTAGGGTTGATCAACTCAAGACACCTCCTTAAGCACTAATGACCAAAATTAGGGTTTGAGTTTGCACAAGGATTTTTGAACTTCCAATGCCCCATATTACTTTCATAGGTAACTATGGACCCTCAAGATTACTCATGTCAAGTTTAAAGCTTTAGGTCACACTTTTGCTCAGTCAATTGAGCAATTGACCTAAAAATCAACTGTATTGAGAAAAAAGCCAACTATGGCCAATTTACAGTCAAACTTAAATTTTTTTGATCCACATCAACATTTTAAACTCATATGTATCATTTGATAAAGTTTGTACCATAATTCCTCAAGAAATTTGATCAAATCTTCAAAAGGGCAAAATGGTCAAAATTAGGGTTTTGACTGTGAAAGGGCAATTTCTGATTTTTGACCTAGAAAAGGATCAATTGGTTTAAGGAATGATATCAAGAGTCCTATTTTATCATTTTTACCTAATTACATGGCTCAAAACATTGCTCAAGTCCAATGGATTGACAGATGAATTTTTCAGTCAACTGATCAAAAGTCAACTGTATACTGAAAAGTCAAACTTTGACTTTTTGGTCAAAATTAAATGCCAAAGATCACAATTTATCAAAGTGTGTAAAAATATGAAACTTATTCATCAAGAAATCAAAAATTCAAGATTTCATTTTGAAAAGTTAAAATTTCTAAACTTCGAAATTTTTCTAAGTGTTGGAAATTTCTTATTTTTTCACAACTTTGAGAAAAATTTTCACCATGATGCAAGCTGATTCAAAAGAAACTTCCAACATGAAAGTTGTATATCACCATGAAATCTA